GAGGAGAGAGAATGGTGGGTCGCCGGAGACATCACCTGGATTGTGGCTAGGATTCCTCTACGAGGGTCGCGGCTAGAGGGACAGTATTGTACTGACATTGTGTGATGTTACAGGGATGAAGACATGGGAGACGAGAGATAGTGGTCACTGATGAGGAGAGAGAATGGTGGGTCGCCGGAGACATCACCTGGATTGTGGCTAGGATTCCTCTACGAGGGTCGCGGCTAGAGGGACAGTATTGTACTGACATTGTGTGATGTTACAGGGATGAAGACATGGGAGACGAGAGATAGTGGTTACTGATGAGGAGAGAGAATGGTGGGTCGCCGGAGACATCACCTGGATTGTGGCTAGGATCCCTCTACGAGGGTCGCGGCTAGAGGGACAGTATTGTACTGACATTGTGTGATGTTACAGAGATGAAGACATGGGAGACGAGAGATAGTGGTCACTGATGAGGAGAGAGAATGGTGGGTTGCCGGAGACATCACCTGGATTGTGGCTAGGATCCCTCTACGAGAGTCGCGGCTAGAGGGACAGTATTGTACTGACATTGTGTGATGTTACAGAGATGAAGACATGGGAGACGAGAGATAGTGGTCACTGATGAGGAGAGAGAATTGTGGGTCGCCGGAGACATCACCTGGATTGTGGCTAGGATTCCTCTACGAGGGTCGCGGCTAGAGGTACAGTATTGTACTGACATTGTGTAACGTTACAGAGATGAAGACATGGGAGACGAGAGATAGTGGTCACTGATGAGGAGAGAGAATTGTTGGTCGCCGGAGACATCACCTGGATTGTGGCTAGGATTCCTCTACGAGGGTCGCGGCTAGAGGGACAGTACTGTACTGACATTGTGTGATGTTACAGGGATGAAGACATGGGAGACGAGAGATAGTGGTCACTGATGAGGTGAGAGAATGGTGGGTCGCCGGAGACATCACCTGGATTGTGGCTAGGATTCCTCTACGAGGGTCGCGGCTAGAGGGACAGTATTGTACTGACATTGTGTGATGTTACAGAGATGAAGACATGGGAGACGAGAGATAGTGGTCACTGATGAGGAGAGAGAATGGTGGGTCGCCGGAGACATCACCTGGATTGTGGCTAGGATTCCTCTACGAGGGTCGCGGCTAGAGGGACAGTATTGTACTGACATTGTGTGATGTTACAGGGATGAAGACATGGGAGACGAGAGATAGTGGTCACTGATGAGGAGAGAGAATGGTGGGTCGCCGGAGACATCACCTGGATTGTGGCTAGGATCCCTCTACGAGGGTCGCGGCTAGAGGGACAGTATTGTACTGACATTGTGTGATGTTACAGGGATGAAGACATGGGAGACGAGAGATAGAGGTCACTGATGAGGAGAGAGAATTGTGGGTCGCCGGAGACATCACCTGGATTGTGGCTAGGATTCCTCCACGAGGGTCGCGGCTAGAGGGACAGTATTGTACTGACATTGTGTGATGTTACAGGGATGAAGACATGGGAGACGAGAGATAGAGGTCACTGATGAGGAGAGAGAATGGTGGGTCGCCGGAGACATCACCTGGATTGTGGCTAGGATCCCTCTACGAGGGTCGCGGCTAGAGGGACAGTATTGTACTGACAATGTGTGATGTTACAGGGATGAAGACATGGGAGACGAGAGATAGTGGTCACTGATGAGGTGAGAGAATGGTGGGTCGCCGGAGACATCACCTGGATTGTGGCTAAGATCCCTCTACGAGGGTCACGGCTAGAGGGACAGTATTGTACTGACATTGTGTGATGTTACAGGGATGAAGACATGGGAGACGAGAGATAGTGGTCACTGATGAGGAGAGAGAATGGTGGGTCGCCGGAGACATCACCTGGATTGTGGCTAGGATCCCTCTACGAGGGTCGCGGCTAGAGGGAAAGTATTGTACTGACATTGTGTGATGTTACAGGGATGAAGACATGGGAGACGAGAGATAGTGGTCACTGATGAGGAGAGAGAATTGTGGGTCGCCGGAGACATCACCTGGATTGTGGCTAAGATCCCTCTACGAGGGTCGCGGCTAGAGGGACAGTATTGTACTGACATTGTGTGATGTTACAGGGATGAAGACATGGGAGACGAAAGATAGAGGTCACTGATGAGGAGAGAGAATGGTGGGTCGCCGGAGACATCACCTGGATTGTGGCTAGGATCCCTCTACGAGGGTCGCGGCTAGAGGGACAGTATTGTACTGACATTGTGTGATGTTACAGGGATGAAGACATGGGAGACGAGAGATAGTGGTCACTGATGAGGTGAGAGAATGGTGGGTCGCCGGAGACATCACCTGGATTGTGGCTAAGATCCCTCTACGAGGGTCGCGGCTAGAGGGACAGTATTGTACTGACATTGTGTGATGTTACAGGGATGAAAACATGGGAGACGAGAGATAGTGGTCACTGATGAGGAGAGAGAATGGTGGGTCGCCGGAGACATCACCTGGATTGTGGCTAAGATCCCTCTACGAGGGTCGCGGCTAGAGGGACAGTATTGTACTGACATTGTGTGATGTTACAGGGATGAAGACATGGGAGACGAGAGATAGTGGTCACTGATGAGGAGAGAGAATGGTGGGTCGCCGGAGACATCACCTGGATTGTGGCTAGGATTCCTCTACGAGGGTCGCGGCTAGAGGGACAGTATTGTACTGACATTGTGTGATGTTACAGGGATGAAGACATGGGAGACGAGAGATAGAGGTCACTGATGAGGAGAGAGAATGGTGGGTCGCCGGAGACATCACCTTGATTGTGGCTAGGATCCCTCTACGAGGGTCGCGGCTAGAGGGACAGTATTGTACTGACATTGTGTGATGTTACAGGGATGAAGACATGGGAGACGAAAGATAGAGGTCACTGATGAGGAGAGAGAATGGTGGGTCGCCGGAGACATCACCTGGATTGTGGCTAGGATCCCTCTACGAGGGTCGCGGCTAGAGGGACAGTATTGTACTGACATTGTGTGATGTTACAGGGATGAAGACATGGGAGACGAGAGATAGTGGTCACTGATGAGGTGAGAGAATGGTGGGTCGCCGGAGACATCACCTGGATTGTGGCTAAGATCCCTCTACGAGGGTCGCGGCTAGAGGGACAGTATTGTACTGACATTGTGTGATGTTACAGGGATGAAAACATGGGAGACGAGAGATAGTGGTCACTGATGAGGAGAGAGAATGGTGGGTCGCCGGAGACATCACCTGGATTGTGGCTAAGATCCCTCTACGAGGGTCGCGGCTAGAGGGACAGTATTGTACTGACATTGTGTGATGTTACAGGGATGAAGACATGGGAGACGAGAGATAGTGGTCACTGATGAGGAGAGAGAATGGTGGGTCGCCGGAGACATCACCTGGATTGTGGCTAGGATTCCTCTACGAGGGTCGCGGCTAGAGGGACAGTATTGTACTGACATTGTGTGATGTTACAGGGATGAAGACATGGGAGACGAGAGATAGAGGTCACTGATGAGGAGAGAGAATAGTGGGTCGCCGGAGACATCACCTTGATTGTGGCTAGGATCCCTCTACGAGGGTCGCGGCCAGAGGGACAGTATTGTACTGACATTGTGTGATGTTACAGGGATGAAGACATGGGAGACGAGAGATAGAGGTCACTGATGAGGAGAGAGAATGGTGGGTCGCCGGAGACATCACCTGGATTGTGGCTAGGATCCCTCTACGAGGGTCGCGGCTAGAGGGACAGTATTGTACTGACATTGTGTGATGTTACAGGGATGAAGACATGGGAGACGAGAGATAGTGGTCACTGATGAGGTGAGAGAATGGTGGGTCGCCGGAGACATCACCTGGATTGTGGCTAAGATCCCTCTACGAGGGTCGCGGCTAGAGGGACAGTATTGTACTGACATTGTGTGATGTTACAGGGATGAAGACATGGGAGACGAGAGATAGTGGTCACTGATGAGGAGAGAGAATGGTGGGTCGCCGGAGACATCACCTGGATTGTGGCTAGGATCCCTCTACGAGGGTCGCGGCTAGAGGGAAAGTATTGTACTGACATTGTGTGATGTTACAGGGATGAAGACATGGGAGACGAGAGATAGTGGTCACTGATGAGGAGAGAGAATTGTGGGTCGCCGGAGACATCACCTGGATTGTGGCTAAGATCCCTCTACGAGGGTCGCGGCTAGAGGGACAGTATTGTACTGACATTGTGTGATGTTACAGGGATGAAGACATGGGAGACGAGAGATAGTGGTCACTGATGAGGTGAGAGAATGGTGGGTCGCCGGAGACATCACCTGGATTGTGGCTAAGATCCCTCTACGAGGGTCGCGGCTAGAGGGACAGTATTGTACTGACATTGTGTGATGTTACAGGGATGAAGACATGGGAGACGAGAGATAGTGGTCACTGATGAGGAGAGAGAATGGTGGGTCGCCGGAGACATCACCTGGATTGTGGCTAAGATCCCTCTACGAGGGTCGCGGCTAGAGGGACAGTATTGTACTGACATTGTGTGATGTTACAGGGATGAAGACATGGGAGACGAGAGATAGAGGTCACTGATGAGGAGAGAGAATGGTGGGTCGCCGGAGACATCACCTGGATTGTGGCTAGGATCCCTCTACAAGGGTCGCGGCTAGAGGGACAGTACTGTACTGACATTGTGTGATGTTACAGGGATGAAGACATGGGAGACGAGAGATAGTGGTCACTGATGAGGTGAGAGAATGGTGGGTCGCCGGAGACATCACCTGGATTGTGGCTAGGATTCCTCTACGAGGGTCGCGGCTAGAGGGACAGTATTGTACTGACATTGTGTGATGTTACAGAGATGAAGACATGGGAGACGAGAGATAGTGGTCACTGATGAGGAGAGAGAATGGTGGGTCGCCGGAGACATCACCTGGATTGTGGCTAGGATTCCTCTACGAGGGTCGCGGCTAGAGGGACAGTATTGTACTGACATTGTGTGATGTTACAGGGATGAAGACATGGGAGACGAGAGATAGTGGTCACTGATGAGGAGAGAGAATGGTGGGTCGCCGGAGACATCACCTGGATTGTGGCTAGGATCCCTCTACGAGGGTCGCGGCTAGAGGGACAGGATGCCCGGGGGGAGGAGAGGCTTGGTCGCTCCACAAAACACCTTCCTGGAAAACATCATCCGCAGGTCCAGCTCACAACGTGAGTAACTTGCTTTGTTAAATTTTTTATACCACTATATACGTACGTTGTTAAGTTATGTTCATCGTTTTAAACAAATTTCTTTTATAATAGTCGATATTTTGGTTAACTCTCTCTTAAACATTGGAAGTGTGGATTATTGAAAATCTTCGGTAGGCTGAAATTACCTTACTTTTATTACCCTACTAGCTGTTGTACCCGTGCTTTGCAACGGGAAGAGGACACAAAATAAAAACATTTAAATCTTTATCTCTTGCATATAATAGTTACACATCCGCCAACGCTTGTAGAAACAAAATTCAACTTTTATGGCCTTAATAGAAACGTTTTAGTTATGACTTTTAAATCTGGTAAGTAGTGGATACCACCATTTTGGTTTTGATTAATTTTAAATCTTGTGTAGGCTAATAGAAAAACTGACCAAATCTTCGAGTAAAACTTTGACATACGTGATTTACCAGATTTATCTTCATCTCCCTTAATTACACATCTTTTAATTTATTATTGACATTTTAAATTTCAATTTTGATGTTGCAAAAATACTAATTATTAAATTTAAATATCTTTATATTAAACTCTTCTTTATATTTAATCACAAATCCTTTCACCTTCAGTTTTTTCACTCACAATAAATCATTAGCAAAACTAAGTCAGCTGTTATAAATTTAAGAAATATTGCTGTGCCTTATCAATACAGTCTTTTGAAATATTAAAGAAACTATATCTAATAGGTAGGCCTACTATAAAAAATTTCAAACAAATAATTTAGCATTAAAGACAGCAGACAAAACTAATATGATTATCAAAGCATCAAGGACTAAAAAATTTAATAGCAAATACATTATATGTTTCATTGCATCTCTGATTCTACTATACAAAAATATCAACAAACAACTTAATATACAAACCAGTTCTTTTAATCAGTTCCATCGTCCATTGCTTTTACATTTTCACACTTACCATTAAGAAAACATAGTAACAGATATTTCATTGATTTTAGAAACAAAAGAACACTGTGTACTGCTTAGTTTTATGATATTTTCCTTGGTTTAATTTAATCAGTGGTGTGGCAAAACACAAATAATAAATGTATCAAATAAAATAAATGTGAACTGAAAGCTACATGTTAAGATAAAATAAGAGTATTTTGTATTACCATTTGATAATTAAATATAGTTACTGTTCTATTTCTTATACAAGAATATTATTCACACATCTTGCTTCAACCCTGTTCAATTAGTTAATGTTACATATAAATTAAGATAGGCTACTTAATAATAAAATGTTTACCATTAAATTAAAACTGAATGACGATAATTAATCATTCTAACTAATTTACATATCTGGCCAGGGGGTAAAATTCCGGGGGAAAATATCCGGGGGGTAAAATTCCGGGGGTAAAATTCTGGGGGCAAAAATCCGGGCCGTACATTCTAGGTTTTTATAATTTGATGTGTTCTGATTAAACTCACAACCGTGGAAATATATGTTTAATTCCGCGTTTAATCCATCGAGCTGATGTCGCGAAACTCAAAAGTTCGCAGCCGGAATTTTACCCCCTGGTTTGTGACGTCACGTTTGCCCAGGGGGTAAAATTCCAGGGGGATAAAAATCCGCTACCCCGCGGTGGCGGGTGGTGTTCCGAGCGAGACGGCTTCGTTGATTCAACCACTTACCGTGATCTTGTGCTGTAACTGTAGTGATTAAGTTAAATAAATAGGTAGGTCTATGGCTCTGGGGAGTGGGATTTTTTAAACGATATTTATCCCTATTCAGGGAATTTTTTTCAAACTTTTGATCCCATTCAGGGATTTTCTCCAGTTTTGTATCTACAGCAGTATAAACCATGTAGCCCTACTATTTTCGGGGCGAGGAATTCGATAGGACCATCGCCGTCCCCCTACGAGCCCCCCTTTCTAACTACAAGGGGTAGATAGATATTCTTTGAATAAAATATAATTTTTTCCATTCGTATTTATTTATTATATTATCCTCCATACAAATAAACCCTTTTTGACACTAATAGGCTACTGCCCCCTTGTCCTGTAAGGGGAAAACCCTCCCCCCTTTGACTAAATATATATAACTTTGGAGAATATGTAGGTAAAGAAGTACAAAAATAATGAATATCCCCTATTTTTGGGGTGAGGAATCCAATGGAACCATCGCCGACGCCCTAACCCCCCCCTTCCCACTTACAAGGTGGGGAATTCCCCCCCCCAGCCAAAATAATTTGTTCCTCATTAGATTGATTTGTTATGTTTTCGTAAATACAAATACGCCCTTTTTAACACTTATATTGCCCTCCTTGACCTGTAAGGGGGCGATACCCCCCTTTTGCTAAATGTATATAGCTTTGGAGATTTTGTCAGTAAAGCAGTACAAAACCATGAATATCCCCTATTTTGGTGGTGAGAAACCCAATGGCGCAAACCCCATCCCTCTAACTTTGTTAGTTTTCGAGTTAGGGTGGGGGTATATGGATCTGGGGAGTGGGTACAAAATAGGTGTAGTTGGGGGTATGAGGGGTTGTGATATATGTTTTCGTGTCGTAACACTTCGGCCCAAGTAACACTTCGGCCCAGTAACATTTCGGCCCGAAACCCTCAGATGTGGCCTACGGTCCAACTCTCTACCTGCCCACTAGTAACACTTCGTCCCAACAAAATATTTGACAGGTTAGGTTAGGTTAGGTTAGGTAAGATTCCACCGATTCTCCATCATGTGAGGTCAGAGGATGCAAGGGGTGACGGTTGGGCGACATTCCACCAGAGGGTGGTTGCAAAGTATACAGGTCATGTACCTCTTACTACCTGAACTGCGATCCTCAACCCTTGTCAATTTTTCGTCGGGCCGAAATGTTACTCCATTAGCTTATTTAATCATCTGTAAAAGCGAGTGGGACGAAGTGATACTGTTTTTCTAAGAAATTTGAGTTTGGCCGAAATGTTACTGGGCCGAAGTGTTACTACATCTATGTTTTAACCCTATTTCTGGGGTGAGAAATTCAATGGTGCAAACCCCATCCCTCCAACATCCTTAGTTCTCGATTTAGGGTGGGGGTATATGGATCTGGGGAGTGGGTACAAAATACATGTTGTTAAAGTTTTGAGGGGTTGTGATGTATGTATTTACCCTATTTTGGGGGTGAGAAATTCAATGGCACAAACCCCATCCCCCTAACTTTGTTAGTTTTCGAGTTAGGGTGGGGGTATATGGATCTGGGGAGTGGGTACAAAATATACTGCAATGGCGTAGGAGGCACTACTGTACAAAGAGCGAAGTCTCTAATAGTCTACAATTTACCATTGACATCCAAATTTTGAATGCTAAGGACGTTTAAAACTTTTGTTAAAAAAAACCTTAAAGGTATTCAATACTTTTTTGTAGACAGTGAAGAAGTAGCAAAAAGTTGAATTAGAACTTCAATTTTGATTCAAAGGACGACTATCGATTCCCTGAACACAATCCTTTTACAGATTTGTACCTGTGGCAGACAACAAAGTAGAGTGTTTTAAAACATCAAAATGCTTAAAATCTATTATTAAAATATAACATTATTAAAAAAATACATTGATTGTGTATTATAATGTAATATTATGATTTCTACGCTATTACACGTATAATGCTTATTTTAGTACTTTTCAATGTTTCATAACTTTAAAACCATTTTAGGACGCCATTTTCATTATGTAGGCCTACACGCCACATTACAAATGAATCGTAGTTTTAAAATCTTAAATTTTGCAAAAGACTAAACTTGAAGGAAATCCACTTTTAGTATTGACACTTAAATTTTATTTATTATATAATGTTGAACTTGAAAAAAACTTGTATAATATAACATAACTCCCAGAGGATAAGGCGTGTCCATTGTTATGTGTCCTTGAATAATTGTGAATGAAGGTGTCCATTTGCCGTCGGACGTCGGAGACCATCTATTGGTAGGTGTCCATTTGCCGTCGGGCGTCGGAGACCATCTTAGGTGTCCATTTGCTGTCGGGCGTCGGAGACCATCTATTGGTAGGTGTCCATTTGCCGTCGGGCGTCGGAGACCATCTTAGGTGTCCATTTGCTGTAGGGCGTCGGAGACCATCTATTGGTAGGTGTCCATTTGCCGTCGGGCGTCGGAGACCATCTTAGGTGTCCATTTGCTGTCGGGCGTCGGAGACCATCTATTGGTAGGTGTCCATTTGCCGTCGGGCGTCGGAGACCATCTTAGGTGTCCATTTGCTGTCGGGCGTCGGAGACCATCTATTGGTAGGTGTCCATTTGCCGTCGGGCGTCGGAGACCATCTATTGGTAGGTGTCCATTTGCCGTCGGGCGTCGGAGACCATCTATTGGTAGGTGTCCATTTGCCGTCGGGCGTCGGAGACCATCTTAGGTGTCCATTTGCTGTCGGGCGTCGGAGACCATCTATTGGTAGGTGTCCATTTGCCGTCGGACATCGGAGACCATCTATTGGTAGGTGTCCATTTGCCGTCGGGCGTTGGAGACCATCTATTGGTAGGTGTCCATTTGCCGTCGGGCGTCGTAGACCATCTTAGGTGTCCATTTGCTGTCGGGCGTCGGAGACCATCTATTGGTAGGTGTCCATTTGCCGTCGGGCGTCGGAGACCATCTATTGGTAGGTGTCCATTTGCCGTCGGGCGTCGGAGACCATCCATTGGTGTGAGTATCTTCAATGTATCTAATCAATGTATGTAATCTTCAATGTTGTGTGTGTGTCTTCAATTATGCCACATCCTCCGGGAGCTCTGTTTTAATCTTGAATTTGTCTTGGCATAAATATGTTAAATTGGATTCTTATATTAACTGTTGGATTAATATTAACTGTTTTGACAAATTGGCTCATGGCCAATCCTGCTAACATACCGAAAGCTAGAATTCCAATCATCTTGACTCACTGAAATTTAAAATATTGTGATTATGATTTTTAATTTCCATAGCAACAGTTAAGGTTTACAAATAAAATTTGTTTTGAATAAGACATATAGCT